ACAAACCTTGCAGAGAACTTATTTAATTTGCAAAAGCCGAAAAAAAACATTTGCTTGTAAATCAAGGCACATTAATACAGGTAGAAGCCAAAATGACGTTGCTCTCATGAGAACCAAACCTTTAAACTTAACTTGTTTTTCTTTTATTTCCTATATTTCGTTACGCTTTGAATGTCATATCGTTGTTTTTTTTTAATGTTCGTTAATAACAAATTTTAATTAACATGTGAATTTGAGTAGTGTTGTGCGGTTTATACTTAGTGTATGTGTTAAAAATGCAACACCTGAAGCGTTGTTTTTTATGTGGTTTTAAATATGAAGCAGATACCACTCATTGTTTTTAACGTGCCTCAATGTCCTTCGCGTAAAGAGCGTTGCGAAAACAGCTTTGGGGCAGAACTGCAGCGAAATGCCTTGCTGTGCGTTAAACATTTTAAAGCAGCAGATTTCATAAATGCACCGGGAGGTACAGGAAAGGCACTTTTGATACCAAGTGCTGTTCCTATGACCCTTATGCCGGAAAGTCCCTCCAACTCATAAATTAAAAACAGAAAACAACATACAAATTAACAAATTTTAACTAAAGAAAAAAAATAAAAACAAAACTTCAAATTTACTCAAAAACGTCAACCAGCGAAATGTAATTTTTTATTTTTCCTTACACATGCTCATTTTTATTTTTACTCCCGAAAACTTTGACTTTTGTAGGTTTGATGTCAATTTGGCTTCTACTTGTGTTTATTGTACCATGCTTGTAAATAAATTAAAAATGTGTATGGCTCACTTCCTTTCAAACGTTTTTTCTTTTGTTTTGAAAAATTACATGATAAAAATATAGCAAACTGCGTTAAAATGAAAATAAGCGAGCACGAATATCGATGTGAAGCAAAACTCTCTGGGAAGACAATACCTGCTATTAGGTTTGTTCCACCAGCTACTCGAAGTCACTTCGAGTTACACATACGCGTTCCACAAGTAAGTTTTTGGGTTTATTTGATATACGCTGACAGTTTGAACTTTGCTCGAGTTTTTCTGGCAAGTAGCTTGTGGAACAAACCTATTATTGTACCATGGTTCTCGACCACGTTTGAGAGAAATAGGGTTTGCGCTAATCACGGTACCGCTATTCCTCTCTCAGTGAATTCGACAGAATCGTTGTTTGTATGACTTCACACTTGAGCAACTTGTTTACGTTTTCCTTGCAACATTTTTTCTTCTTCTTCCATTCTTGCTCACTTTTGGGCATTTCTCTCGCAATTGCACCAGTGTGCAAGAACAGCCCAGTCAGAAAAAACTCCGAAAATGAAATCGTTAAACGGACAAAAATCCCCATTTCATTCACTTTTCTTTCCGTTGTCCGAATAATTTTCGGAGTTTTTTCTGACTGGGCTGTTCTTGCACACTGGTGCAATTGCGAGAGAAATGCCCAAAAGTGAGCAAGAATGGAAGAAGAAGAAAAAATGTTGCAAGGAAAACGTAAACAAGTTGCACAAGTGTGAAGTCATACAAACAACGATTCTGTCGAATTCACTGAGAGAGGAATAGCGGTACCGTGATTAGCGCAAACCCTATTTCTCTCAAACGTGGTCGAGAACCATGGTACAATAATAGGTTTGTTACACAAGCTATTTGCCAGAAAAACTCGAGCAAAGTTCAAACTGTCAGCGTATATCAAATAAACCCAAAAACTTACTTGTGGAACGCGTATGTGTAACTCGAAGTGACTTCGAGTAGCTGGTGGAACAAACCTAATAGCAGGTATTGTCTTCCCAGAGAGTTTTGCTTCACATCGATATTCGTGCTCCCTTATTTTCATTTTAACGCAGTTTGCTATGTTTTTATCATGTAATTTTTCAAAACAAAAGAAAAAACGTTTGAAAGGAAGTGAGCCATACACATTTTTAATTTATTTACAAGCAAATGTTTTTTTTTTCGGCTTTTGCAAATTAAATAAGTTCTCTGCAAGGTTTGT